GGAAAGAGAGCAAGAAATACCGTGCATGTGGGATGATCCTGCTTTGGTCCCTCCCAGCTCTTACAAGGATGGTGGCATTTTTTTTTGTTGGATACCTGCAGGAGTAGGTGCTTGCTGGGATTGCCAGCAAAGTGTTCATTTGTGGCCAGCTGTTTTGTCTGGGGTGCTTTGTGTATGAGGTCTCAAGTAAATGGAAGGGGCTGCCATTTCTTTAGGCAGAGTATGTCTACATCATCCCAGGTAACTTAATTCATGTTCATCAACATCTTCATGGGGAAGCCATAAAAACCTTCAGAAATTATAGGGGCCATAGGCAGATTTTTAAAACCTCCATACTTGGGATGTACAGTGATGGTGATTTAATGTGGATAATCTGTGCTGGTGTTTTGAGAGGGCTACCTCAGGCAGAGCTTGTTTCTTAAATCTGTCCTGTTAGGTTAGCAGATACAGGTTATGGTTCCTGGAGGTAAATTGATTCTTGCCTAAAAGAAACAAACAAACAAAATTATTGGTTTTCCAAACAAGCTGTTGCCACCTTTGGAGCTGTATCCCTTAAGTGCTGGTTCTGGACCTTTGTCTCTTGTGTCTCATCCTGAATAATCACTATAAAACCTCGTTCACTTCAGTTTTTGTGCCTTTTAGTAAACTGTACAGGGGAATGATACATTTGCAATGGAAACTAGAGACAGCCCTTGACTGCTGGTGATAGCATTTTAAAAGAAAGAAAGAAAAAAAGCTCGTATATTTTACTGGATTAAAAAATAGTGTCTTGAGAAATGGTGTCAGACACTGTATGACTTTGTATTCACAGTGTGGGCAAAGCTGAAACAACAGAAGGCTTCAGAGAGATGGCAGCCTGATACAGAGGTGAGATGTTACCAAAGACACTGGACAGCTCTTGTCCTGTGTATGTGGGAACCTGCTGTTTACCTGGTGTAGACTCAGGCTCTGTCAAAAGAAACCTTCAGAGTGCCCTGCATGCAGAGCTTCTGTTAGCTGTGATGTCTGGAAGGCAATTTTTGTGCATGACTTGGAAGTAGTTCTGGTAGGACAGACTCAGTCCTTTGTGTGAGGATGTTTTAATGCACCACTTCGCAGTACCAGCATGACCCTTGTTTTGTGAGGTGAAAAAAGAACTGTTGTGAGCAGTGTGTTCACTTACACTGGTGCCTTTTCTTAAACTTCTGTCTGAAACCAAGACTTTCAACAGTATGCAGGGCACTGTGGGAAACATAGCTTGTCATTGTCCTGACTCGAGGTGAGCTCCTTTCCCAGAGCCCATGGTAGATCCACTGCGGGCCTTCATATAGGGAGGTTCTTGGTAGTATGGTTGTGCCAAGCTAAAATTCAAATGCTGTAGGACAGCCTGAGTCAGGCTGTGTCCCGGTACCTCAAGTGTTAATTCCATTCTAGGAGGAATATGAAGATTCTAGTGGAAACGTGGTGAACAAAAAGACCTATGAAGACTTGAAACGTCAAGGTCTGCTGTAGCTTTTCCCATGTGAAGCATTTCACATCTGAAAAGCAAGTGGAGATGTGTCAGCAGTTCTGGCTCTTCAGTTTCTGGATTTTCTATGTGCATGAATATAGATTTTAGTGATACTTCATAGAATCCCTTTCTAGTAACCCCCTTGTAAGAAGACTTGTGACATTACTTTCTATAAAAGAAAAAATCCTTGAAAAATAAACTGTTTTTAATTTAGGAAGTGTTGCAAAATTTGTCTCATTTCATATGCTGGAAGGAAGAGATTTTATTACAGTAGCCTAAAAATGCTTTTTATGCAGTTTGAGTTGTCAGGAACAATTTGCTTTTTCATAGAATGCCTTAGGTTGGAAAAGACCTTGAGGATCATTGAGTCCAACCATATACCCTACTCTACCAAGTCCAGCACTAAGCCATATTGCCAAGTGCCGCTTCTAATGACTTTTAAACATCCATTTCTCTGATTCTGATGAAAGTTTTTCTGATGAGGATTGATTTCCTGTAAAGCAGACATGAACAGTAAGAAGTAAAGGTCCTATACTATGTTTTGCTGTGAGCATATGGTGTTCTCTGGCCTCTTTTTCAAAACAAATTTATTTGGCTTGCGTTGCTGCTTTTACCTCAGGTCTGCCTCCCTGTGGAGATTTAGCCACTGGGATATTTTTTCAGGGAATTAGTGCTGGAACTTGATGTAGGTTGGGCTGTGGGGGCAGTTTGGGGCAGTTCCTCCAGCCCTGTGGTACTCCTGCCCCCTCCAGTCCCTCAGTAGGGCTTTGTGTTGGTTCAGAGTTGGCTTGTGTGACATCTCCAGCCTCCATAAATCCTCTTTCTGCCGTTGCTGTGTGGGGCTGTTTGGAGCTCCCAGTGCGGTGGAGCAGCAGGTGACAAGCACTTCCCTTGGGTGGTGCCTGTGCAGCCGCTGGTTGGCAGGGCTGGGCTGGTTGCTGGCACTGGGGTGCAAGGTGGTGGGGCCAGTACAGCCTGGGGCTGGTGCTCAGTGGCATCCACTCATCCACGTACTGCCAGCGGTGGCTGAGCTCTTGCTGGAGCTCCAGGGAGCAGACTGGACACGGACAGGGTGAGTCCTTCCTTTCCCTGCCCTGGGGGAACGTTGTTCTTGGGATGAGGCCATGCCAGGTGAGCATTTGCTCCTCGCCTACTCTGGAGCTGGGCTGGGCTGGAGCACCCTGCTCAGAAAAGTTGTCTAAGGCTGGCCTGGGTGGTGGCTGCCCTGGTTTTGAAGGTGAGTGACTCCAGCCTGTGTGGAGTGTCCTGGTGGTCTCTACTCAAACTTCAGTCATTCCAGGTCCTTGGGAAATGCGAACTGGGCCTAAATCGAAAGACAGGAGGGGTGTGTTACAGTTCTTGGAGAATGTGGCCATGGAGCCTGTTTAGGGTCGTGTCTCTACTGGTTCCTTAGCTGAACAGGTGAAGATTTTGAATGAAAGCAGAGAGACTTCTAGGAGCTGGGTGCCATGGGAAGCAAGTGTTATCTGTAACTCCCCTGCCTGTGTGCTCCTGGCAGCTGCCTGCAGCTCTGTGTGCTGCCTGCCATCACCGGTGGAGGTTTCCACACCAACGGCACTTGCCACTCCTGAGGGGCTCTGTGCCAGCCCCAGGCCCCCTCAGTGGCAGCCTGAGGAGCTGTGGAGATCCTCTGGGGGGAGCGGCTGCGGGTGCCCTGGGGCTGAGTCCCGCTCCCGCACAGCTCCGTGCCACGGCCCCAGGCTCCTGCTGGAGCGCAGCCCCGCACTAGGATGCCCGCAGGCGGCCGACCCATGCTGATTCGTTTTGTTATTTATATCTGAGGTGAATTCTAGATTGAGAGCCTGTTGAGAGGGGCTGGAGGGCAGTTTGCAGAGGTGGTCTTGGTGGGGGTTGTTACTGACAGGCATTTATTCCTGTCTGAAAACCATGTCCTGCCATTACAGGGACCAGAGTGCTGAACAACCTGATTGCTCTGGTGTCCCATGGTGTCCAGAATGAAGGCTGTAGAATTTCCTTGGAAAAAAGTTCCTTTTAAAAAAATCTCAACAGGAAAAGTCTGTTTTATGTAACTTGTCCTGATGTTCTTTCTGCCACCTTGTAACAAGCTGTGCTCCAGGCAGGCACGGGGAGCAGGTGCTGCAGTGACTGTGCAGTGGCTGGTGGACTGTCCCCTCCTGCTGCCCACCGCTGATTGTGTCTCCTGCCAGATCCCAGGTGAAGTTGCTAGTGGGTGAAGATGGCTGTTTACCGATGGCTCATCCCCCCTGTTCAAGGTATTGGGGCTCTGCTACAGCATGGAGACCAGCTTCCATCCTGGCGTGCCCAGGATGTCTGTCCCTGCTCCAGCTGTTGGCCAGAGGCTCCCTGGGGCAAGAGGTGGCAGGTGGAGGGTGGGGCGGTCTTTCTGCAGCAAGGCTGATCCCTTGCGGCCAGTGTGGGTCCCCAGCGGCTGCCCATGCTGCTGGGGAGGCTCTTCAGGCTGTGGGTAAAGCAGGCAGCAGGCATGATGGTCTCAGTTGTCCCTCTCCATTCCAGGCCTGCTGCTCTGCATCTTGGCTGTACATCTCTGCTTCCAGGACTCTTGTGCCACAGCAGGTGAGCTCTGAGGGAAACCTGTGGGGAGTGGGACAAAGGTAGTGTGGAGCAATAGCGACTTTGTCCCTGTACTGCCCCCCTGCCTGTATTCTGTAAAATGGAGTTGCATTGAATAACCTTTCTTCGAGGGTTTGACCCCAGAAAAGCCTGTTCCTTGCAGACAGTGTGGCTGGAAAGGGAGGGAGAAGCTTTTGTAACATCTGCCTGTAGTGCTGCTGCAGTAGTCTGTTGTCTCTGACCTGCTGGGCTGCCTGGTCTCTGGCTGCAAACAGACCTTGCTTGGGACATTTTGTCACTTACTGCCATGCATGTCCCAAACACAGCATGACTGATGCTTTCTGCAGGTGCCTTTGGACCATGCAGAGGCTCCAGAGGGGATGCAGGACTTTTTGAGTGTGAGGTTAGTGTTTCCTTCACTGAGTGGTAATTTTGTGTCTTTCAGACCACAATGCTGTCACCACGACTGCCTCAGTGGCTCCCCACACCACTTCAGTGGCTGTCCGCACTGCCTCAGTGACCTCCAATGTCTCCTCAGTGGCTGCCCGCACCACCTCAGTGGCTACCAGTGCCTCCTCAGAAGCTATCAGCACCACCTCAGTGGCCGCCAGCATCACCTCAGTGGCTCCCAGTGCCTCCTCAGAAGCTATCAGCACCACCCCAGTGGCCGCCAGCACTCCCTCAGTGG